AATTGGAGTTCGAAAAGAAAATAATTGTTATTTGTTTCATATAGTAAAGATCAAGACAATGATTGGGTATTTGGGAAGCACATATCTTATACGTATATATCTTCACATCTCTGCCAAGGAAGCAAGCTGTAGCCGATGTATTTTACTACCCAGAGGAGGTGTACTTTCGTTTCCTTCCGATAAAGTGAATCGACATGTTACTTTCTTTCCAGTGGGTGGATGGAATTGTATTATTTGCACGTGGCAAAAGTCAAGTAGTTGGGTACTCTGCGATTTTATATGTTTTGGGGAAGGTGAATTTGGATATGAAGTTTTCAAACAGATGTTCTCAGGAGCGTTCCGAGATATTCGCAAAAACAGCGAAATTCTGGTACCTTTTACAGTTTTTTGTTCGTAACGCTGAAACTATACATTTGAGAGAGAAGACCACCTTATAAAAAGTTGAAGTAATTACCTCAAAGGGCCGTGCTTTATCTTTCGTTTGCTGATGGGAATCAGTCATTGTTGATGGCCTTTTTCATTCACGTTGACCTGGAATTACACACCGAGCCATTTTTCCTCTCTTTCGTTCACCTGATTTCTGCGATCAGATCATATTTGCTCATTCAGAAGATTTTATTTTCAAATTCTTATCGTGTGTGTTTAATAGATGTGATTCAATATTCGTCGTGGCATATAGCCAGGAAAGTAGTTGTTTTCTTTTGAATAAACCGAGAAAGAATTGATATTTCCATCACATGAGGAATTCGAATACTCAATGTATTTCTTTATATACAGGGTAATGCAGATTTCATAGATCACTATTGTTGAATCAGAAACGGACGGAGATGCAAACTAGGTTAAATGACGAAAAAAATGCGCCATATCATGACCATCTCGAATATCAAAATAAGTCGAGGATATTTTCTATAATTCCTGGAATATTCTGAAAAAACTGAAAACCATCGATTTTTTGAGTCATCAATGAATTTTCAACTATGACTGTTAGAGTATTGAATTTTGGTACACTTACTGAAGTTCGCATGCTGAATTCAACGGTGACATAAAAAACATTTTTTGGCCCACTAGATTCGAAGATACCGAAGCCAATTTCGATTTTTTCAATGGCGGCTATATTGGATTATCACACCATCGGATAGATCATAAAATTACCAATCCTTCGGAGTATCACACTTGTATGTTTCATGGAGGAGATATCAAAAAACAAAAAATATTGAAAATATGGAGTAAAATCTATGATGTATCATCGATGGTGCTAGAATAATCATTGTAATCGTGTCATAGTAGAATGATACAATAGACAGAAATCTCCGTAGGTCTATTTGCAAATAACATTCGCTAATTGATGTTCGATACTCACATCTCTGAAGTAATGATTGGTATTTATGTGTTGAGAAATATACACCACAGAATATTCAGTTGAGAATATTTCATGAATATACCGCACAGAATATTCATTTGATGATATTTCATGAATATACCCCACAGAACATTCAGTTGGGAATATTTCATGAATATACAAGAGAGAATATTCATTTGGGAATATTCCTAGAAAATTCATACCTGGATATTCCCTGAACATATCCGACTATTCACTTTGGAATAATCCTTTTAGATGTTCCAGAGGCATGTATATATTCTTGGAATTATCGATGAATATTCGGAATAAACTCCTCTTTTTAGCATATTTAGAGAATATTCTAGGAATATCCAGTGCTGTCTGGGAATGTCCTAGCACAAGTCCACATAAATCCGAAGATATCTACTCATGAAATTGCAAGACAATGTAATATCAATCAATAAACAGCTAATAGAAATACTCAAGAAACAAAAATTCCATCCCTATCACTACCATGTAGTGCAAGGAATCAATCGCGAGGATTTTGCCAGGCGAACCTTTTTTTGTGAATGGCTACAGAATAGGATGAATGATGATCTAGATTGTCCGTTGAAAGTGTTATGGTCTGGTAAATGCCTATTTACAAATAATGGCCTCTTTAACCGTCACAATGAACATGTTTGGTCCACTGAAAACCCATAGCTCAAGAATGAATCAAGTCATCAAATAAAATTCTCGGTTAACGTCTGGTGTGGCATCTTCAATGGTCGAATTCTGGGTCCATTTTTCCTTGAAGATCGCCTGAACAGAGAAAACTATAGAAATCTCCTGAGAGATAGAATTGAACCCGTATTGAATGAATTTTCAATTATGTGGTTTCAACAAGATGGAGCCCCTGCCCACAACGCTCAGATGTTTGGACAAAGATGGATTCCCGAATAACATTATCAGTTTTATTGTAAGCTACAGGAGGTTGTTACAGCCTATTTCGAATTGCCTTTTTGAAACGATTATACTTTAATAATATCATTGAAACAATTAAACAACCTTCTCAAAACATAAAGGGCCCACCTTTATAAATGCTGTCACAGCTTCTCTGAAAGCTTGTCATAAAACTAATAGGAATTTATTGTAGTAGGCCTCAAAGCAATAATAAAACCTATCGAAACTACTTCCTTTAAAGCCTTCAAGCCTTTTAGCACGAGTTCATACCTATTGGTTTTATAACGACACTTCTTATGCCTTCATCAAAACTTATTGGCTGGAATTAAAACCTTATCAGTCGCAGTAAGCATTTGTTAAGATAATATAGACCTTTAGGTAATGATGAGGCATTTTATGTGACGATTTCCTCCTGTTGAAGTACTTATTACATATTCAAATCCATTCTTATGACTATTTGCTCCTGGGTATGACAACAAAGCTTCGAAAATCTTTAAGAATATCCTGGCTAGTGCTTGTTACAAAGTGTAGAAGAACGTCATCAACATGATTAACATATCCCTACTCTTGCTGTTTACAGTGTTCACTATGTGAATTTTGTGATTGGTTTAAAGTAGGAAACCGAGTAGAAAACAAAGACAAACTACACTCACTCAGTGCAATTCGCCTGATATTGTGTTGATTGCTCCATTCTCTCAAATGCATGCTCTACTCGCCATCTGACATAATTTGTGCAAAACTGTTGTCAACTTCCTCGCTTCCTAGTTCCTATTCAGAAGAACGATGATCAGAAGTATTTTCCATTACGTTCTGACTCGTTGATGGTACTTCATGAACATCAGGTCCTAATAAATTCTCGCTATTTGGTGGATTCAGGTGGTATGAATTGAGAGACGCAGTGTTTGGAATTGCTTGGGCTTGAGAATTCTGATTTACTGTTGTTCTCACGACTCGATTATTGATTCTTAAGTAATTCTCTCAATTTTTCCGCTTGAAGTTGCCATTTCTCTTAATTCCACACTATTTATCTTCTTGTGAGTCCATTTCAACGTGAGTCGTTTGAAGGCCATTAAATTACTAACATTTATAGTATTGGATTTGGGTTTAACACGGTTCTGAATAAAACTTCATAAATCCTATAGATTTTATGATTGACTTCGATGAATTCATAGTGGCTTATAGGTTTCAATAATTACTTTCACATAGCTAGAATAATGCCAATAGGTTTCATTATTGCCTCAGTCAAATCCTAATTGGCCTAGTGTAAATTTGGTTTTATGATTGCTTTATGACGTATTTTCATAGGATTAAATCAGAACCTCTTGGTCAAATTCGAGACACTAATGAAACTTAAGAGTTTCAAGAGGGTTGTTGAGAGTAAATGATTTTGATAAAGAATTTCAATGACTCTCGCAGAGCTCTCTTAAAACCGAAGTGAGCTTAATGCCAAATTGTTTTATGCGATAGTTCTGTCATAGTATCTAAAAGTCTCTCAATAGGGTTATATGAACATGAAGGCCAATATGCTTCTTCCAGGGCATTTATAAAACGGTAGAACAAATTATACCTATCATTTGCGCTCACATAACCTCTTTAAAGTCTCATCGAAGCTATTAGGCATTCAAAATGTCACTTGGGTTGGTACTAACGGTCCAGTGCGATGGCCCGCTAGAAATCCGGACCTGAATCCGTCGGAATATTACCTATGGGGATATTTGAAAAATATAGTTCATTCCAGAACAATTAGGGACGCTGAAGATTTGCTAGGACAAATCATACGGAGAGCAGCAAATGACATTTGCAGGCGAGTTGCGCTTTTTTTCGAAAATGGTGGGGGTCACTTCGAGCATCTCAAAAGTCGAATATTTTTATCGTTTTCTCGTTTAGTGGGAAAACTACGAATTGTAAGCCTAGCAGATCTCACATCAACTTGTTATTTAAATTTTTTCTGTTTTTTGATATATCCTGAATTGAATATACACGTGTGATACTTCGATGAATTGGTAATTTTATGATCTATCCGATGGTGTAAAAATCCGATATTGCCGCCATAGAAAAAACCAAATCTGGCTTCGATATCTTCGAATCTAGTGTGCCTAGAAATTTTTTCATGTCATCGTTGAATTTAGCATGCGAACTTCAGTAAGCGTACCAAATTTCAATACTTTAGCAGTAATAGTTGAAAAGTTATTGATAGCTAGAAAGATTCATGATTTTCAGTTTTTCCAGGATATTTCAGGAAATATAAGAGATCTTCGATTTCCTTCGATATTTCAGATGATCATGAAATGGCGCATTTTTATTTTCATAATTCAATCTAGTTTGCATTTCTCTCCGTTTCTGATATATCAATAGTGTACCATGAAATTTGCATCACTCTGTATATATATCCATTTTTTTTCGTGTTCATAAATATATCTGAGAATGTCCCTTTTTAATATCATGATGTGAATTGATCATGTCGATGTTATGGATCAATGTACGCAAATTAAACTTCAACCCATATCAACATAAAAAAACATAACGACATAATATTTTTTTTCATTCCTGAATATAATGAATGATGAATCACCCTGCAGCAAACTGAAGGTAAATCTTATGTCTAGGTGATTTTGGTTGAATCTTCATATTTTAGATCTGAATTTTGAGGCTGAAATATTTTCGATCTGTAATTATGATCCGAGTTTGACTCATCACCTTGTATTCCTGATATTTTCAGGTGAAGTGTACCAAGCGACATGGGTTGATGTATCAACACGTTTATGATAGGTTGATGATAATGGTGGACCCGAAATCTCCACCCGGAGAAAATACCACGAAAAAAAATATCAAATCCGATACATATGAACAAGCCTATCTTCTAGACCACGTTGTTAGACAGAGGATCTGAATAGAAGGTGGCTATACTGACGATGTTGAATTTTAAGGTTGAACAAAATTATGTTTTAGTTCTAAGTATGTTACTTTCATGAATAAACAATTTGTATTCATGTTGATATTACTTCTTAGCACCTCTTCAGCTCTTCTGGAGTTCAATCTATGACTATTAGTAACTATGGAAAAGATTGAGAGCAATTGTTGAAATTTCTATATATAGATCAGAATATGATTTTGTCCAATATCAATTTATATCATTTCGTTTGTTGATTCAGCTATATATTCATTCACAAGGTGGGATAAAAAACGGAAATAACCCAAAAAAGTTGGTACTCACACATAAGTCCATTCTCTGAAGTACAGAATATTGAAATCATCAAACAAATTGGTCAAAAATCAATCGAAGTGATGAATGATCGAGTAGGCACATCAAGTGAATGAAATTTGTAGATTATGTAGGTATATTCATATACAGGATGATTCACATTCGATGATACTTCCGAGACTCATTCGGAAAACAAGATACTGAATGATTCTGAAATACAATGATTGTACTTAACCATATATACGATTCGAAATATGGTCGGTCATGCAGCTTTGCCGCCTATGCCAAATGGTAGCAACATCTTTGATATTTCCAATATTTTATTTCATCTCGAGCTACCGATCATTTTCCATATTTGTCGTTCAGAACATTGCTATGAATTCACAAGGGTATGATGCGGTATTTGAATCCGTGAAAAACTCTGACCGTAGCATACCATAGATCTGTGTTTGTGTTTCAATAGAAAAAAGGAAGAAGTTTGTCCTGTATTATATTAAGAATACGTGATTTCCACCGCTCGATATTTGTATGGTTAAATAGTATTTTCATAAATGGAGAACCCTGTACAGGGTCAGCAAAACTCGATATCCCAACTCTATTATGAGGAGAGATGCTAGGTAAATCTGAAAAGAGGAAAGAGTCCATTTTGAGCCTAACTCGCATATGTTTCTGAATTTGTGAGCTGAAGTAATGAAGTTATTGATTCTGTTCCCCCCAGAACAATATAAGCTCACTAGTTCATACTCCTTCGTAAAAATCTTGGCCCATCAGATGTCCATTAATAATACCACACCAAACGTTATTTCCAAAGTGTCCTTGATTTTCGATAGAATTTTCAGTACCTAGCCTATAATGTTCATTTCTTTCATTGTGCTTATATCATTGCTAACAATACGGCTTCTGTATTCCACAACTCATGATGGAGAAATCGACTGTTATTGAACTCCAAGTTTTATATCACTTGGGCATTATACTGTATTTTCCGTTGTTGATGTGGATCTGACAAGTGTTCCGAGTTATGAAGTTTATAATCGTGATATTAATTTTCTCTCGAAATGTTTCGTACCAAACTATATTACGAAATCAACTCACGACTAACTAGACAAATCGAGTTCTTTGACCGATTTTTAAGATACTGCAAAACAGTGGCAACAGTATAGTCAGTCTTGATCCGTTCGGCTATATTTTTTCCCTTTCAAGATAAAAATGCCTAGTTATTTGCAGGTAAATTCATTACATTGTAATCTTGCGAATATTTTTGAGATTGAAAAAACATGTTCGGGGGAATCTCTGCACGTCCAGAGGTCTTTCTAGTTTCTCCAAGAATAAATGTCGACATGTTGACTTTCTCATAGTGCGTGAACGTTGTTTAGCGAACTGATACCACATTGATATTTCAGAATTATTAGTCCATTCATTGACTGTCTCGACTTCGCTATTCTTTTCGAAGGCTACTTGTTTGAATCGTGACGAATGCAAATTTTTGATGATACCTTTTTTAAATAAGTTTGCTTATAATATTTTCAACGAAAGGAGATAGCAACTCATTTGTTACTCACTTCAGCTTACAAATTAAGAGATTATGCAAATTGGGCCCATAACGGACTTTGGTCATTCGCATTTGAGAACCTCTCCTCAGATTTTTTCAATCATCTCTCCTCCACTTATGATAGAGCTGATACATCAAGTTATGCTCACTCTCATCCGTAGATGAAAGTTTATTTGTCCACGACTGTTGTATAAAATATTCATAATACATGTACTTCCTCAAGCAAAACGATAGCCATTTTCCACACCAGTGAATAATAGCGGTGAATAATCATTATTCACTGGTCTAGAGTTGGTAGGGTACACGATATGTTTTGTATTGAGCAAGCATTTATCAGTATACGTTTTGGCTATAATAGCTAGGCACATTAATTAGCTAACTTCATACGAATCATATTCAAATATATAGAAATCTTGATATACCTCCTCAGTAGGTATTAGATTATTCTCTTTTTATAATGTATGTATACTTGGAATATGTTAGTATCAAATAGACTATATCAAGATGATATCGAATACGGAAGCCATTGACATGTAAGACATGACAAGCTGATCATAAATAGTTGTCATTGTTGAAACGTCAAATTTCGACGACACGCGGTGTTTCAGTTATGATTCCTAAAAAATGGATATTGATAGTGACGAAGAGATATTGTGTACTCGACCAGAGATAATAGAAGCTGCAAAAGTCACGTCAATGAGTTCGTTGCCGGAGAAATCCCGAAATCTGTATGCATCTGTGTACAACACCTGCATGAACTGGAGGGCGTCTAAGAAAATTCATTCATTCTTAGAGTCAGTTTTACTGGTATATTTCACGGAATTAGCTGCAAAATATAAGCCATCCACATTATGGACACATCACTCAATGCTCAGGAGTACGCTTAATATAAATCAAGGAGTCAATATAAAAAACTATGTAAAACTGCATTCATTTCTACAAAGGAAGTCTGAATGAGGCTTTCATCCGAAAAAAGCAGATACATTCTAGAAATTTTTGATTCAGGCATGTGATGAAAAATATCTTGCAATGAAGGTAATACATGAAAAAAACTTGCTTAACTAACATTCATGAAATAAAATTCATCCTTATCAGGTCACAATGATAATGGGAATAATGCGGGTGCAATTTGAATAAATAGGCCTAATAGTCTTAGAAAGAATTAATATAACAGGTATCTTCAATTTTTAGTTTTCCTAATGTCAAATAAGTTATGATAAAACAGTTGTTGAAAATAAGTTCATATTTCGAAGACAATATAGTAGTCGTGGACAAAGTATAGTATTCTACTCGCATATAATGAGCAATTATTCACTAAGGTTAATTATGCCACTCGCTACGCTCGTGACATAAACTTAACCTTCGTGAATAATAGCCCTCATTATATACTTGTTGAATAATATACTATTGTGTAAGAATCAGAATTTGGAATAAGCTCACTCATCATAAGTAAAAGTGAGTAAGTAAGCGATGGAATATCATCAACAAACATAACAACATGAGAATTTGACGATACGTGTATGACATATTTTCGAAAGCATGAAATTCAGAGGATGAATTTCTTGAATCGATGAGTGCAAGTCTGTATACCAGGAGTACAGCACTTTACACTATAATCAACCTCATTATTTGTTCTAAAGAACTCTATTATAGCAGTAAATAAAGCAATTGTCGAAAAGGATTAACAAAATTTACACATCAAGATATACAGGGCGTCCTTGAAAGGTCTTTACAAAAAGCTACCACATATTCTTCAGACCAAAACAATTCGATACAAGCAAACTTACCTAAGTAAAAAGTTGCTTAGTTTGGGCGCTAGACGGCTCTGAAGTTGAAATTTTCAAATCGATTTTGCTTCATAACTTTTGAACGGCTCATGAGATTTTTTTCAAATTTGGTACGTTGGCATAGAGTCATCGGGCAATGAAACTCATATCATAATCATAATGAATATCATTCCATGGGCGTAGAACTTGATTTTTTCAGGAAATAAACATCTAAAACTCCTACGCCAATGGAAAAAAATTAGTTTCAATATGAAATCTAAATCATTCAACTCATTCACTACAAAAAAGGTACTCTTGACAAAAGTCGATTCCTCTCATGGTTTCGACAAAATTTTAATTTTAGTGATTTAGAGCATAATTAATAATAAAACGATTAACAGATATTTCATAAAAATTGTTCAAAATGTTCACCATTTTCACGTATACAAAGATTTATACGACGCAAAAAGTTGAAATGTACTCTTTGCATAACTTCTTCATCGCCTGTAAGATTATTCGTCGCCTGTTGGATACGTTGCCATAATTGTTCTACAGTATTCACAGGGGTCTTGTAAACCGTAGACTTGAGATAACCCCATACAAAATAATCCATCGGTGTCAAGTCTGGAGAACGTGGTGGCCAATTCACGGGTGCATCATTACCTCTACCTATCCATCTGTCTGGGTACTGTTGGTTTAAAAAATTCCTAACATCCACCGAAAAATGTGGTGGAGCTCCATCGTGCATAAACCACATATCTACCCGATGTTGGAGTGGTAAATCTTCCAACAAATTTGGCAACGTATTTCGTAGATGTTGTAAATACATGTCTCCTGTTAATCTTTGTGGAAGTATGACAGGACCAATTATAAAATTTCCTATTATTCCAGCCCAAACGTTGATTTTGAATTCGTGTTGAAAATGGTTTATTTTAATGAAATGAGGATTTTCAATTGCATAAACGTGTTCATTATGAAAATTAGTTATTCCTCTTCTCGTGAAACAGGCTTCATCAGTGAACAAAATATTCTTTCCAAAGTTCAGATTCATTTCTCTTTGCAAATTAATGAACCTACAAAACATCAGACGACTTTGTGAATCATGGATTAATAAATCTTGAACTGGCGTCTTGTGGTATGGGTATAATAATTGTTCTCTTAGTACTTCATGAACGGCATTCCTAGAAACTTCTAGTTCATTACTTATCCGTCTAGTACTCAATTCTGGATTTTCTTCAATACGGTCTAAAATTTCTACTTCGACTTCGGGAATCCTTACATAACGCTGTCTTCCATAATCACCAGTTCTAGGAGCAAAATGACCGGTCTCCCGAAGACGTCTCTCAACTGCAGCAAAGGTTGGGTGGCTTGGTACGCGACGATTTGGAAACCTTGCCGAATACACCCTCACACTCTCTCGACCATTTCCTTGACAATATCCGAATACCAATAACATATCGGTGTATTCTTCATTGGTGT